ACTGCAGCCAGGAATTTGGCTACTGCTGGAGTGCTATGTGTTTTATAGTGGGCACAGGAGACATTTCATCTATAATTTCATATGCTAAAGCCAGGTGACACTACCATGCTATTTTATATAGTTGCAGAATTCTACATTTAAGGGTTTTTTCCTCTGTTCTGTATCATGGACATTAGGGCATGCTGAATGCAGACATCTCATAGAGTGAGAAGATTAGCCTCATCTAACTGTACTTTTTATTTAAAAGAATATAGTCTAGTGAAATGATTAAAAAATATATATTTTTAGGGAACAAAAGCTTTCAGTGTGCATTTGTTTGAAATGTCAGAGAGTAAATGAAACCAAACATAAGCATGTTAGTCTCAGCAGGAGAAGAGTTCGTGGCTGATCTGTGCTGGCTGTTTGATATTCTGGTTGCACTGTCTCTGGAGCCTTAGTCTTGTTCTGTTTATTTTTTCATTTTCCATCATTTGGTTTCAGTCATTCTTGACTGCCTGCAGCGTACTGTTTGCTGTGCTCCTTACAGTTATGGCTTTTTTTTGTAAAGTTTCTTCTTCTATAGCAGATCTGACCTCTGGTGTTTTCAAGTATCTTCCTTTTTGGAACTTTAAGAAGGTCTGAAATACAACTTTTATTCAGTGCTTTTCCACAATGGCAGATCCTACTTCCAAATCAATGACAACATCTATACAAAAGCCATCTTTTCTAAATCTGTCATATTAGAACTGCCCTTTTCAACTAACCTCTGGTTGGAGCTGATCTAAGGGTTTGGGGATGGGAGCTGTGAGTCTGGAACAAAAACACAACGAAATATCAGCTTGAAAATCTCCTCCTGTGGAGGAGAGAGACAGCAAAATGACTGTCTTTTTGGAGGATGTGCCTGGGGGGAGCTCTCTCCTCCCTCCAAACTAGACTGGATGGCTATTTCCACACCAAAGAGTGCTGCGGGAGGTTTTAAAGCCCAGGGTACACTTGGCAAGCCCAGGTTCCCTTCATAAGAGAATATATGAGAAGAAGCCAGGCTCTCCTCAAGAAAAAGCTACAAATGATAAAGTTGAAAGACTCCACAAAAAGGGAAGAAGTGCCTCTTCTCCTGCCCTGCTCGGTGAGGGAGGGAAATGAAACCCCTCACGGTGCAGGAAAGGGCAGTGCTCTGTCATTATTTTGCGGTACTCGGTGACTCCGGTCGGCATCAAAGCACGTTCCATATGAAGGAAGACTGTTACTCTTGTAAGGTCAAGAGTTGTACTCTTGACAGATTATTACCTTTTTCCTTCTGTATTAAGACAGTCAGATTGTTTGCTATTGGATTTTTGCAAGACTGTCTGTATTTGAGTTTCCATTCCTGGGCTAACTGGAGGGAATTCAAGTAGGAGAATCTCCTAACAGGGTGCATGTCAGAGCTGTAAGGTCAGGAGGGGCTCCAGGGTGCATGTCAGAGCTGCAAGGTCAGGAGGGGCTCCACGGTGAGTTTTCCCAACGCCTGATACCATTTCACTTTATTGCAAATGACTGCAAGGCTCATGGGGTGCCCCATGTCTCTCTTAGTATATCAGAAGGTAAATGAAACCCCTCATGCAGACAAGTAAGAGAGGATAAGCACATATAGGTGCTGCAATTACACACATACGTGGCAGCCACTGTTGGCTGTAGGACAAGGGGGCAAAGAACTTTCTGGGTTGGGAAAGACTGCATTTGGCAGTTCCAATCTTTTATATTTCTATACTTACCTGCCCTGGCAACTGCGGACAGGATTTTACTTTCTGAGAGGAATGTACTGAGTTTGATTTTCTTTTAAATAGCAAAAGCAGTGCAACTTTTTTTTTTTCCTTTCCTAGCTGGTGTTCTGCCAAATTAGTTTTGTGTCAAATCCTTGTTTTCCTTTGAATATGTGGAGTTTTACAAAGTAAAACTAAACAAAAGCATCATTTTGACATGCAAAACTGAAACTTTTCCTTTCTAAAAAGGTCAATATACAACATCTCATCTTTATGAAACTGCTGTTTTGCCCCCAGAGCTTTCTGTGGCTTTTGTGAAGATTATGTACATTTCTGAGAACTACGATATTCCTTGCCTATGCCTTAGGGTCTAAGTAATTCACATGACATTTTCAGTTACTGGAGAAGTGCTGATATAATCCATGTAGAGTGGAGCTGTTCAGCCATGAAATAAGTGCTACAGATAGAGCTTATGAAGCTGATCTTGTGGAAGCTGGGCATAGCTTATACTTCCAGAAATGGCATGGTAGCAGGATAATATATGTATCTGGACAGGCAAAGAAAGAAACCACTGCCGCAAAAGAAATAAAATTTGTATGGCTTAAATGGGGGTTTGACTGTTTGATAAACTTTCTCATTTAAACCCAGGTCAGCTGTGTCACAAACATGTGTAGCATTTCTGAGTAATGCCAATTCAGGTGGATTTCTGAGCTCTTTTGACCTCTTATTTTACATTATCTTTGCAAGAATAGTTGTCTTTCCTTGTTGTGGAGGGCTAAACTGGAGTCCCACAGTCCTGAAATTCATAGTAATCCTGCTGGGTTACTTCAGCACCTATTCAAACACGACTTGATCTGTGCACTACATGAGCCAAGGTCAGTCCTGACTTTGGTGAGCTGTCCTAGGAAGGGTGAGGGTGGAAAAGGGTGTTGAGCAGTGGCAGCCCAGTGCACCACCTCATGTCCACCTTGTCCTTGGGTGGCTTGAGGCAGGCAAGTGCAGTGCAGTAGCCACTTATCGCCCAATAGCTCCTCCTTGAAAGTTATGCTCCCTACTATTCTCAGTGGTATTTGTTATGACTTCAAATACCTGAGAATAAATTTTATTGAAACTGCACAACACCCATTCCTTGAGAAATGACTGGGAACTACATAGCATGGTTGAATCTGTCTGGGCTGTGGGGTTTGACATTGTGTAATTCTTTCAAGAAAAGATAAGCTTCCCTTCTACTTCGATCAGAAGCACTGTGTCCTCCTGGTTGGCTCATGCAAAGGAGGGCACAGTAGGCCAAGTGTGCAGTGAATGTGGGGCATGGACCAGGCTACCAACCATGCCGTCTTCCTTCCAAAACTCCTGTGGGAGTTAAAGGAGAGTGTCTCCTGTTGCTTTGCTGAAAGGAGGAAAAGAAGATGCTCTGCTTCTTCGTGCTCTCCAGCATCAGGACAGGGCAGGCCTTACAGCAAGGAGGTGCTCATGGGCATGCAAACACGTGGCTCTTGAGAAATTCCTAGATGAATTCCCTGTACTTTTCTCTCCTAACTGCAGCTGGAATGCTCTAGAGCTTTGGCTGTGAATAAAGAATTTTTATTTGCAATGTTATCTCCTATACTACTTCTATTTTCCAGCTTGATCCACTTTTTTTTTGGATGTATCTTTTTTTCTCACTGTCAAGCAAGTATCTAATTAGGTTTTGATGATAAATTGTTTTTTTTGAATATTTAATCTCACAGAGAGAAAAAATATGGCAACTTTGAAAGAGCTCTGTTAAGAGTGTATGGAAGAACTTTACAGATTATGTCACATATTTGTTACTGCAAAGCGATACTTGGTTCCTGTATCTTGGAAAAGGTGACACTGAAAGTTTAAAGTATCCTAGTCATTACAAATTGTTAAATAAGCTGAGTTGACAACAGTGTAAACATGTTAGATATGTGTTCAAATATCCAGTAATCTTTCTGAGAAAGTATCCAGCCTGAAACCAAATTTGCTTCCTATTAATGTGGTATAAGACTGTGCAGTGCTGGACTAGCAGAGTGGAAGTCCCACAGGCAACTGATGGCTGAGCAAACACATTAAGCACAGAAGAGCTGAAATCATTTCAAGCTTATGGACTCAAATTAATAGAATTAAAGTGGTTGATCTTAGCCACATTTCTCCTGATAATATGTTATACCGCATCCATATATATGAACTCCAGTGAACAAAGTCTCCAGGGCTGATGTGGCATCGTATTGTTCTGGAAAGGGAAGCAGGCTTGTCATTGATTGCACGAACTGGTTTCCCTACTTTAATAGCAAAGTAAAAGTAACAAATTTGGGGGTAACCAGAAGGAAGACCGAAAGTCTTGTGGGCCACAGAAGTGCCATGTTTCCACCAGGCTGGGACAGGGCATGATGTCAAAGATCATGACACAGGCACTCAAGATTAAGTAGCAGGGAGTCTTTTTGACTTCAGTGGCATCCAGTGGGGTCTGACCATAGATGAGAGCTACCATGGTGACAAGGAGGAGAGACAGGAGACCTGTGACAGAGCAGGCAGCCTGGTTAATGTTCAGTCACGTTCAGGGTCTCGGAGGGATGAGGACCCTACCATTCTGCACCACACACAGTCTTGCATCTGTCTTCAGTGTAGACACATAAGCATTTTTTCCAAAAATCGCGAGGACGCCTAGGGGAACACCAGCAGAGTTTGGCTGTGGTTTCCGTACAGCTAAGCTGCCAAAGCATTGCTGAGGGGGAAGGTCCTTCTCCTCCTCCTCCTTGCCCTGACCATGGGGCTCTGCTTGTACCACCGCTGGCCTTGCGAGCCACTGGTGAGCTGACTGAGTGAGGTAATAAAAAATACTACCAAAAAATCCTCATGGTGACTGCCCAGTTAGCTCTCCGGAATAGGCTGCCATGACTCGTGTCAGGTGCAGCCCCAAGCTGGGGCAGGAATCTACAGCCAGAGGTGGGCTGGCCCGTCTCTCTGTCCTGTACTTTGTTTGCACAGTGCTAAACAACCATGAGCTTGTATTTCCTTCCCATCCTGTAAGATTTAACTCTGGTATCTGAATTAAGTGTAAATATCATTATGGTAATTGCAGCACTGCAGAAGCTCTTCATAACCTTGGCCATACTGAATCCTACACGTTCTGCGACGTAAGGTGAAAGGGATATTGGCTTCATTTTTCTGATGGTGGTATGTGGCACAAAAAGATAATGTAACTCATCCAAAATTGCCCAGTAATTATGAGATGGGAAAAGGAGCTGAAGTCAGGTTCAAGACTATGACTATGTGTACCTGCAAGGTAGTGATTGCCTTTGCGGCCCGTAAGGTTAGGTCGTTCCCTTACTGTAGCTGAAACGGGAGCGTGTGTGTGGGTGCAGACTTCCAGTATTGTGTTCCAACTTTCTGTTTTTAAATAAAGGAAAAATATATGTGAAAGGAAAATCAGTTTGTAGTACAAGCATCAGACTTTCTATTAGGAACACATTAAAATCTCATGGCTTTTGTACTAAAAATATGCAAATCGAATCTAAGGTCCCATTCTGCTTATTGCTGCGCAGAACAAATATATATCTCCAAAATGTAGATGAAAAACAAGTTTGACGGATATAGCCTATCGTGTTTTTAAAAAAGTAGTAAGATGGAGCTATTAAGTATTTCAAAACTTCCTGTGAATATAATCCTGCTAAGAAAACACACATATGCAACAGCACAAAGTGCTTGTTGGACGGATCAGTGCGCAACAATATGCATTGCACTGGACCTGTACAAAACATCAAACGACAGGACAAATAGCTGGTTTTCATGGTAGGATGTTCAGGGCAACGCTGTATGAGAGTGACGGATTTTTTTTTGCAAAGACGGAGGGAAGAGACGTGATGGGTCTTACCATTCTTGTCTGCTCTTCTTAATATCTAAATAAAAAGAGAGAAAGTAATGAATCACTCTTTTTTGTAGGGGTTAATGGCACAAACCATGTATTTAATGAGCATTTATAATTTGAGCTCTGTATCACATTTTCACAAGGCTACACACAATTGGAAAGTTGTATGTGTCTCCATCCTTCTCTCATATTGCTTGTTCTAACTCCTTCCGTGCTGTGTGCACATAAAACCAAGGCCATAACAACAATAAGCTTTATTTTCTAGTTTGTATATGGCTTAAAGGATGGCAGCCAGGCCCAAAACTCGGACAGCATATAGCTACTGTGATGCTATAGGGCTTACAGGGCTGATAGAAGAGGTTTAAAGAAGCAGAGCAGGGGTGATAGCCGGGAGGATGCTCTAAACTTTGGAGATGGTGAGAAAGACTCAGGATTTGCGTGGGGGAAGGAAATAAAGGGAGAAGTCAGGAGAGGAGCCGGGGTGAAGCGACAGGATCAGACTGGGTGTGGGAGGCAGCAAGATGAGATGGGTGGGAACAAATCTGAGGATGGCTCTGGAAGCAAGTGGAAAACATAGAGAGGGAAGTGGAGGGGGAAAGTACAGAGGTATATAAGCAGGGAATGAAAGGCCAGGGAAATGAAATAAGAAAGTATGTTAGCAAACACGAGCTAGATAAAGAGGGAAATCAGGGGGAAAAAAAGGCTTGTGGTGGTCTTGACAAGAGTGGAAACACAACTGAAATAACCTAAGAAGAAAGCTAACAATCTCTTTTATTGTCAGCAAGTGGAAACAGTTTGCCCCGGTGCTTGCTTTGCCATAACTCTTCTGCCACAGAAATGTTGAGATCTGAGCTTATCCACGGAGCGCGTACGTCTGTCTTTTCTCCCCACTGTAAACAGTGCATGTTTGAGGAGCTGTTTAAGTATGTACATTTTTCTCTAAGCCCCTGTGCAAATCCTGAGAAAAGGATCAGCATTTCCTGTGAGGAAAGAGTAACAGAGCACCAGAAACAGCCCTGCCACCAGGAGGGGGGACACACTGCACCAACCCAGCTGGGACAAAAGGGCAGGAACAGGGAAACTGAGGCACAGCAGGGCTATCCGGCCCAGAGCAGTGCAGTCTGAGCCGCCCTGGCAGGACTCTAGACTAATTCTGCAGACACCATGCCGGTGTTGGCACCTAACCCTTTGGGACCACGTGACACTTCAGCTATGAAGGACTGCCACTCTGCTGTGACACTGCTACGTTCCCATCTGTAGTCCCTATCACTCCTTCAGCCTTGGGATTTCACCCTGAGCAGCAACGGAAAGTTGTCTGGGCAATACTATAAACAAGCTCACAAAAAGGAGGAAAGCAAACCTTCAGAATGCAACTTCCTTTACTGCTAGGAACATCAGTAACAGGCAAGAGTTTCAAAATGGGCCCATACATTTTTTAGAGTTGAAGGCAATGCAAATGTTCTCTAGTTTGATAAGTAGCAGGGGTATGGTCTGCTGTTAGAGCAGAAGCCACATGAAAAACTTCAATTCAAGTGCCCCCAAGCTTTGTCAGATCATCTTTTGCTATTGTGTAGCAGTAGGGGGGAAAATAACATAATTGTGACCAAGATCCAGGATTTCATTTGCAGCTTCTGAGTTGAATTTTTTGATGGGCCAAGCTTAGAGTATATGCAGTATGCAATAAACTTAGTAAGAGGACGTATGCCCTCCCTTTTTTTCCAAATAAATGATATATTGCAATTCGGTTTCCAGTATAAGGGCAAGAATGTTTAGAGTTTGAAATTTTTACTCTAAACTAGAGACTTTCTCCCAACATTAACTAAAACCATTTGGCCAAAAGATCAAATCCAGAGCAAAAGAAAGAGTCTCTGAAACATTTTTAGAACAACATAAAATCTCTGTTTACAATCTCTAGCAGGTAAAATACATTCCTGGCAGATTTGGCTGGATATTTTGTGGGGCTGTTGTTGATCTTTTTCCTATCTAACTGGCAAGCAGTCTTGCTTCTCGTGTCATCTGAAGCAAACGTCCGTGTGCTTGCCGAGATACCAGGCACGGTGATGCGTGCAGGACAACGTGCGGGTCTGGAACTGGGGACTGTTAGTTAATACAGACGGCAAAGACAGGCAGGCAGCAGGAAGATTTTGCCATTTTTCAGCTGGAAGTGGAGAAATCTGTGAAATTTTGGGAGGGCAGAGAAGAATAATGTTCTGAGATCTAAAGTAAAGAACTGGACTTTGGTCTGCACAGTTACACCCGGATGAAAGAAGCCGTGCGTGCCCCCAGACAAAAGAGCTAGCACTGAAATCCTGCTCCTTGACTCAGAGGTGCCTGGGCTGAGCTGCCTGTGGGGCTGCGTATGCAAGCTTGTCCCACGGGAAAAAGCAAGTCATGCTTCAGAGAGGAGATAAATACGCCCAGCATGGGCCCAAGCAGTAACAGATTACAAGTGACTCGTGCCATGAGTTGCATGCAGAGCCACACCAGGTGATACTGCCACACAGTGTGACACAGCTCATAGCCTGAGCGAGACATTACGTGCCCTGGAGCCAGGCACCGCTGCGCCCCTGGGCCCCGCAGGGACAGACAGTCGTGCCGGAGACTCTCAGAAGCACCTGCAGCCAGGGCTGCGCTGGTCGAGAGCTGCTAAACTGCCCCAGAAGTCCGAGCAGTGCTAAGTCTTGGGTAAGTGTTACGCAGGGAACCGCTAGAGTATTGCTTTGGATGCGGGAATAACACAAAAAAATAAGGCTCAGTCCATACTGGCTAATCCAGGTTGTGTGAATGAGGAGAGCCTAACTCTCAAGAAAGATTCCTGTTCCGCAGCAGGTGCAAAACACACACATCTGGACCTCTACGTGCGTATAGCAGGGGGGGTTGTGTTAGAAATCAAGCCTCATTCTCACAAGATCTCTGCCTAGCTCACAGTGCGACTGGGACCACAGTGTCCTGCCTTTCTTCTGCAATCTCCTGCTGCCCGCTCGAATACACAGGCAAGTGTTCATAGAGATGGAGGCACTTCAGCGAGGGCTGATAAGAGAGCCACACACCCCAGAATACCGGTGACACAAGCGTATACTGCTGCAGCAGTAAGGCCCTCCGGGTACGAAACCCTGCTCTGAAGCAGCCAGAGCCTAGATTTGAATCCAAGCTTCTCCTCTGCAGGTAAGAGCAGATGTATGGGACGCATAGGTGGCAGTAACCACTCTCCCTCCTCTTTGCCAGTTTCGTGACTTGCATCTGCTTCTCTATAAGTATTATCCTGACAGTGGCTTTAAAATTGCTGAAAATTAAACAATCACTTCGATCTGAAAGGCATTTTTCACTTGGGCTGTAATGAGACGTTGTCAGTTTCTCATGGATTCTGGCCATCTGCAGGTTCCTGACTCTGTGCTGAGTTGAACTGGGGAGTAGGCTCCATGTGACCGGGCCCTCCTCCTTCCTGAAAACTTGGGTTTCTCTTCTGTTTTCTCAATGCATGCTTATAATTTTCCTGTTTCTTTTACAAGAGCTTTTTATAAGACCAAAAAGTTGCACGTTCATTATGCATCCACATAGAAATAATAAAAGTCCATTAAGAGTCTAGTTCAAACAACTTCTTATAGAGCGTACAGAGATCAGGAGATGAGCAGGCACGGCTTTTATGACAGGCTGTTTGAAATAATTCAGGGAAAAGCGTGAAGAATTTAATGTGGCCACATTAGAGAAAGCACCTGGATAGAGAGTCCTTAAGACAAGATCTGTTATGTAACATGCCATTTCTAGCTGATACTGTGGACTGCCTCAGGCATGAGTTGCTCTGAAGTCAAAGCTGGGAACGGAGTTGGTCTGTAGGTCTGCAGGTCTGCAGGTCTCATCAAGGACACAGGATACTTTGGATATCTTTGGGCTGGAGTTTGCCCTTTTCCAGGACTTATCTCTACACTTGAAACAAAGAAATGCTCTTTGCTATTGCCAGGCCAGTTTAGACAAAACTCCATCTCTGAGACACCCTCAGTGACAGCACTGGACTTCACGGTCCCCTGAGGGGCAGGAGGGTTGGGTGCTTTTCCGGTGCCTCGACGGGGTCCTCAGTGCTGAGGGAGGGCAGAGAGGGGTGCAGGGAGCTGGCGGAGGGCTGATGAACGTAGGAGGGGGCTCCTCGTAGGGGCCGCAGGGGCTTGGGGCCTCTCAGCACATCCACCCTGGGCACCCTCACCCCCAGCAGGACCCTAAAGGGAAGCACAGCTTGGGAGGAACCCCCTACTTTGGCAGGGGCGAGAAACTCCCCGACTAAAAGTCCAGAAATGAAAAAAGCAGCATGCAACACGTTTTGCAAAGTGACAGCGTCTTCACCCCGCTGCAAGCTGCAGCCCGCTGCCCCCACGCGTGTCCGCCGCGAGAGAGAGAGAGAGAGAGAGAGAGAGAGAGAGAGAGAGAGGCTCAGAGAGAGAGAGAGAGAGAGAGAGAGAGAGAGAGAGAGAGAGAGAGAGAGAGAGAGAGAGAGAGAGAGAGAGAGAGAGAGAGAGAGAGAGAGAGAGAGAGAGAGAGAGAGAGAGAGAGAGAGAGAGAGAGAGAGAGAGAGAGAGAGAGAGAGAGAGAGAGAGAGAGAGAGAGAGAGAGAGAGAGAGAGAGAGAGAGAGAGAGAGAGAGAGAGAGAGAGAGAGAGAGAGAGAGAGAGAGAGAGAGAGAGAGAGAGAGAGAGAGAGAGAGAGAGAGAGAGAGAGAGAGAGAGAGAGAGAGAGAGAGAGAGAGAGAGAGAGAGAGAGAGAGAGAGAGAGAGAGAGAGAGAGAGAGAGAGAGAGAGAGAGAGAGAGAGAGAGAGAGAGAGAGAGAGAGAGAGAGAGAGAGAGAGAGAGAGAGGGCTAGATCATATGGCCCTGCCTGTCCAACCCCAGCCCCTTTTACAATAGAGGCTGGCAGATAATAAGACTGATTAAAAATTAAAAAAAAAAAAAAAATGAGGAAAGGCTGGAGCTTGAGGGCTCCGGTAACCTCCTGCCAGCTGTCGGTGCGCCCTGGTTTGAAAGCCATCACTCGGAGAGCAGCGCCGCGCTCCCCCTGCGTACACCGCTCCGGCGGGAGGGCGAGCAGGTTCTGCCTGCCCAGGCTTTCCTCGCTGCGCTCGCAGCCCGCTCTCGCTTCTTCTCACCATTGCCGGCACAGGAGCAGTCTGCCCCAGCGGCCTTTCTGCATATTTAAAGACTGGCTAGTCTCGCTTCCTCTGGTTCTTTCAGTCTGCCTGGTCACAGTTTCCAGATCTCTGACCGTTTTTGTTGCCTTCCCGTTTTCTCATCATTTTTGCTGCTTTCCCCTTTGAGCACTTCAGCTGGGGGGGGCATCTTTCTTGAAGTGCACGACCCAAACTGAACAGGCTTTGAAGTCTTAGCAGCACTGATAGGCTACAGGGACTAATCGTATTTTCATTTGTCTGACACGGCCATCATGATAACCTGCACCTCTGTAAAGGCACTCATTTTTGAAAATAAGGTCCTTGACTAAAATATACCCTTTGGATGGCCTGGCTGAAGTCAAGGGCTGAGAGGCATTGGAAGGTGATGGGGTTTCTGCAAGGTGCCAGGGGCTGAGGCGAGGAGGGGAGCAAGCGTGGGAAGCAAGGGAGCAGGGACACGAGCAGGCACTGCAAGCCCAAAGGCAGCCAGCGGGAGCCCAACGGCAGGGGCTGCGGCAGCTGCTGGGGCGAGGGGGAACGCAGCGCCCCAGGAAACTCCTCACTGTTGCTACCCGGACGTGCTGTGCTGTGAAGTCTCCTTTGCTCCCCAGTTACCTGGGGGTTATACACCTGAGAGCGGTGCAGCCCACTGCTTCCCCACGCAGGGCAGGGCACGCATCCCCCCATCCGCCGGCAGGTTGTTTCTACCTTGTTGTTTGAACGTCATCCTCTTCATTTCTGATGATGTTTCCACTTTTTTGAGATCATTGTGAATGTCAGTCCTGTTCCCCAAAGTGATTCGAGGCCTTTGTAGCTTTAATTAGCTGCACCGTAAGAAAAGCGCTTGCACAGCTCCAGTGCAAACTCCTGCTCAAGCAGGGTCTCTCTGTACTCAGAGCAGGTTGCTTGGGGCTTTGTTCAGTTGGGTCCCAAAAGCCTCCGAGGATGGAGCCAGCACAACCTCTGAACAACCCGTCCCACCGCCCGACTGTCCCCTGGGGGAGAAGTTTTCCTTTTTCCAGTCTGAACCTCTCTTGTTTCAGTTTATGTCCTTTGTCTCTTGTCCTCCCACCATGAACCCCTGGTAGATGGTATTGCAATTACATATAATGTATTACAACTGGTAGATGGTATTAGAGTTCATAATAAATGCTAAAGGGAAGTTTTTATTTTAAAACAACTTCCCATGCTGAAAGCCTCTGCCGTGGCCGGCTTTGGGTCATCGGAGCTTGCTCTGTGGGGATGTTTCTACATCTTCCACTTCTGTTTTCAAGTTTCAAAAGAAAATATGAGAGAGGACAGAGAGAATTGTCCAAAAAGAAACAGAAGACTTTTCATGGGGCAAGAATAATTAACCCACTTACTAAAGAGTACTTGAAAGAGATGGAAAATCATCTTGGGCTATTTTTAGTTTTTAATAATACTGAAAGGCTTTTATTTAATCTGCTTTTTTTAATAGAAATACAGGACTGTACTTCTTTCCAGACAGAGAAAAGAAGAAAAAATACAAAGGTTGTTTCAAGAGCCAGGAGGGTGAAAAGAGAAAAGGAAAGACTTCTTTACATTGTATTTGGGGCTTGTGTGTGTTAACTGTTATAATGATAATAATACCTATTTAGCTTTAATGACTAATTATTATCTTGGAATGAAGAGACTTTTTTAAAGAACCAACATCTTTCCCCTTCTATTAGTCTTAACAATCAGTGTGAATATCCTAAGTCTGTTTAGAGAAAAAATTTCCTTAAGATCAATGAGAAAAACATGTGAAATCCTGATATTTTCAGGTAAAAAACAGATATTTAAAACAATAAGAAACAAAAATAACTTCCAGGTCCTTTATTACCTAAGGAAATGTGATCTCAAGTATTAAAAGCCTAAATTGCAAATCCCCTTCCCATGAATAAAAAACTCAACGGTATTATTTAAGTAATCATTTTTACAGGATATTTAATTTTAAGGTTTAGATGAACAAACAGATTATACAGTAAAGTAGATCAATAACTTACTGATGATACATTTTTCTACCACTTTAACATTTTCTGAATTAATATCTCAATTTTAACAACATTTTGATGAACCAACATTTCTAAATGTCACAGGCAGGATGAACGTTCCAAATTTTAGGCAGCTTTCCCATTGCGTTCAATTATTTCACTCTGCAGACGAACAGGGAAATAATTTCTGAACAAGACGATATCAGGGCGGTGGGAAAGGGAATACAATCATGTGGTGAATATAAATATTGCACTAGCTGCACTAATAGGGATATAATGATTTTGTGAAACGTCTATGTGAGGTTAGTTGAAATCAGCTGAAAATATGCTCACTTCCACAGTCACAAAGCTGGTAACGTAACCAGCAAACAGAGCGGTTTATTGTGTGTATGAGGCTAAAACGTGAAACTGCCTGCTCTTTCTCTTGCCGTGTGTCACATCATTCAACCTTCATTTAGAACCCAGCCTACTGTATCAATGTTTTTAGTCACGTGAAATAAAAAGAAGCGGCCAGCCAGGATTTAATGATTTTGCCCTTCTGTCTGGAAAAGCAAACAAATGAAAACCCGCCACAACAGCTTCCTCGTATTTGGGGCTATGCAACAACAGCCATCAGCATGGAGATTAATAAAGCTTCCTTTTTGCTGAGGAAACGCAAACTGCCTTGTTCTCTGGTAAGGGTTCTCCATTACTCCGTGATGGTTAGCTATGTGCCTTGCTTGCAAGTGATAAGAAAAACATTATGCAATGCTTATGTCAAAATATAACCGTTCAGAGAGAAGGAGAGCTTGCATGCTAGGGTACCCTTGGGTCTGTAAGAAATAGTATTCCCTGCTCTAGGTTAAGGAAACGGATCTGCTTTATGGTCCTTTTCGACCTCAGAAGTGGTGTGGTACATATCAAAACAGCTGAGTTACTCTGCATAATATGATGTTTCCCTTTACCTCTCAAAACATATTGTTTCTCCATGGTTTGAATGTCTGGTGTGGTGTCCTGTAGGCCCACCTGGAAACAGCTGTTGGCTGGGTTACTCAAGCGCTGCCTTCCACAGTAGTTACCTCATAACTTTTCTTGATAGTAAGCTACAATAACAGAAAAATTGCAGAGGCAGTACGTGTGCAGCCATGGCTGGTTATAAGCAGCGGGAGGATGCCAGCAGTAAGAGGATGCCAGCGGCCACCTTTCTGTTCTACGACCTTGTGTCTCTGCACAGGCTGATTCAACCTGACTGACGAGGTGATATCTCTGTCACCCCAGGTTTTCTGTGACTGGGATGGTGAAGATGGAAAAGTGATTTTCTTTCCATAGGGGGGTCTGTGCCAGCAAGAGCAAGGATAGATGTGCTAAAATCCGAAAGACGTGATGATATGCCAAGAAAAAGACTGGCTTAACCACCTATAAAGGGTGTATATGGCTAGTTCACCAGATGAAAAGTGCTTCAAAGGTCCAGGAGCTCACTTTACTCTCATCCTAACCCCTCTTGAGGCAAAGCCTGAGCCTGCCCCAACCTACCCTTCCTCCCCTCAGCTCCCACAGCCACTTTTTGGCAGAAAGGAGCTATAGTGTGCCCCAACAGCAATCCGGTGCAGACAGCTAGGATACCGTAAGTCCAGCACCTACATCCGCTGGTAAACCTGGATGCAATCTATGTGTGTTGGAGCTCTTTTCTAATTCACCAAGAAAAAGAGATGTAATGTAAACCCGTAACTGCGCATGAGGATTAAAAGAGAGATGCTGGTTTCTGTGTTGCTTCTGCAGGAGGAAGATAAGTCCCTTGCATTAGAACATTATTTTCTTCTCTCTGTTTATTTGCATGGTCTTCCTATACGTGTTTGGGAAAATGACTAAAGGGCTATTCATTCAATCTAATTTCTACATAGGTTTTTCAAGTTAATAGCTAGATGTGTTTGACAGATCTTTGCCAACCAGTAGGAAATGAGAGATCTGGCATCTTAGATAGACTTTAAATTAGCATCTATGAGCCTTAGTCTGTCTTTACCCCTCCTTTCCATCTGCAGGAGCCACATAATACTCCTAGGATAGAAAATAAGCATTATAAAGGTAAACAGAGCAAATACTGTATTTTTCTGGGCCAGTAATGCACAGCAGTGCATTAAAAGTGCCTAAGTAAACTAAATGCACATCATTGTACATGGAAAACGTGGTGCTCCTTGCAAGATTTAACATATGTTTCTTATACTGTCTTTCATGTTGAGCTGGGTAACTCAGTAGTTTTTAGCACAACTTTTTAGGGACATACTTCTGAAATGCATGAAATGTGTGATGTTAATTAATTTACCGCCTTGACTCGTCTACGTACTTTGAGTTTATGACCAACCCTGCAGGAGCGCCCTGCAGGAGCATTTTGGGAACAAGCAGTATAATAAAAATGACTGTAATAGGGCATCCCACAGAGATTATGGATCGTGTTGAGAAAAAGCCTGCTGTGTGACTGGATGGCATAGTCAGATATTGTAAGATATAAGAAAATGAACAAAGGAAAAGATCAAAACATGACACAGAAGCATAACAGTGCTTTTCACAGAATAAGCATTCTTTATGTTTCCAATATTTCCAAAAAAAAAGGTGGAAGGAAATGGCTATTGTGAGTCTGTGGCTGACAACAGTTCCATATCCATCTAATCCAAACCTGAAGCGGTCTAATTCACAGTACAAGTCAGACTGAGATATAAGCAATGGTCCTGAGCAGTCCATAAACTCTAGCTTCTTTCTGTCAGAATGGGGACAAAGGGTTATTTATGCTGCAAAGCTTTAATCACTAATTATTGGTGTCCTGGGAGGACAGTTTGCAAATACAGCTAAAGAAAGGTGTGAGGCTTCCCCAAAGGGCTAAGCTCAGCCCTGAGGGTCCTGCTGTAGACTGCTCTGAACGGGCAATTTTAGGACCCTGGCTTATTCATTCAGATGCCTGAGGTTTGCTGGGCTGTATAAACTGTCCTCTTCCTCCATGCCTATGCAGCCTCCCATCAATCCAGACGTATGAGTAACAAGTTTTTAATGAAAAAGAGCTTGAGGATTGCCACTGAGAAAAATGCCAAAGGCTTTCTGTCTCATCAGTGGTCCAGAAGTAAGTGCATATATACAAACAAAGATGTAAACCACAGTAGCTAAAAGAGGTCTGAGCAGGCAGTTCAGCTAGGTCTTCATTTCAGTGTTATGCAAGACCATTAATATAAAAAGATTTGCTATTATGAGCTTGCTTATAAAGCTCCAACCAGGCTGAAGCAGCAGGATCTTTAAAAGAGGACTTGCAAGTCGCTTACTGAGCAACAAAGAAAAGAGGAGTCCATCCTCCAGAGACTACTCTGGATGCATCTGTGTGGATGTGTGGGGTTGGAGCAGTGCTCAGACATCAACCTGCCTGGCACAGTGCCTGACTGACCTATATCCACAAACTAAGTCCAGCCCTTGCAGAACAAGGGCACAGCAGGCTCTGTTGGTGTATGAGGTGACCTCAGCTGGCCACATCAGCCTTTCTGCTCAATGTCCTGGCAGCCGTGGCATTGGAGATATGCTGCTGCTGGGCTTCTTCGAGCAGGGAAGAAAACAGAGAAGTGGTAAGGCAGTAGATGACACGGAAAACCAGAAGCACTGGCAACCATGCCTTTTTTGGATTTTAAATTTTGGCATGGAAGCGATAAAAATTAGAGTCATGCAACTGGATCAGTATTG